ATGTACAACCACACCCCACACATGTACACCCCCACCCCACATGTATGTACCACACCCCACACATGTGCAACCACACCCCACACATTGCAACCACACCCCACACATGTACAAGCCCATCCCACACATGTGCAACCACACCCCACACGTGCATACCACACCCATGTACAACCACACCCCACACATGTGCATACCACACCCCACACATGTACACACCACACCCCACACATGTACATACCACACCCCACACATGTACAAGCCCATCCCACACATGTGCAACCACACCCCACACGTGCATACCACACCCCACACGTGCATACCACACCCATGTACAACCACACCCCACACATGTACATATCACACCCCACACATGTACACACCACACCCCACATGTACAAGCCCATCCCACACATGTACAACCACACCCCACATGTACACACAACACATACCCCACACCACACACAGCACTCACACCACACACAACACACGTACATACCACAAACACCACACATACATACACATGACACACCACACAGCGCACACGACACACAACACGCCACCCCAGCCCACTCCATCACAGGCTCAGGCCGGCACCCAGGCAAAGGGTCTGTGGCCTTGGGCCCTGAAGGTAGCATTGCTGTCCTGTGACCAGGCCTCAGCCTGCACATCCCTCCCTCCATGCACCCCCCTCCATAACCGCCACCAGCACCTGTGCCCACCCTGTTGCCAAGAGCCCTCGTGGGGAGCTCTGCCCCCACATAGGGTCCGGAGGGCTCAACTCCAGCCACCGCATGGGGGTCCCGGCCACATGACTCCTGGAGAGCCCTGGCCCCAGAGCTGGCACTGTCGTCTGGCCTCCCGAAGTCAGAGGTGAGGGCGATGCGCACGGCGGGAGCCCTGTGCAGAGGCCCTGCCCGGCTAGTTACAAGCCAGCTCCAGGCCCAGCCACGCGGTCAGACCGGCCTCGCGCCCATCCCTTCCCGGCACTTCCTGCAGGAGGGTGTTAATTACCCACGGCTACCCAGAAGCACAGGGTGACCAGCAACGAGTCACCCGCAGCGACCACGCCCCGGCACAGGTTGCGGAGCTCCCAGGTCCCCTCCAGCTCTGTCGGGCGCTGCCGTGTGACCTGTGCCTCGGGTCTCGGCCCCCAGCACCAACACCTCTGGCTGGGCACAGGAGGCCGCAGCGGAGCAGCCTTGGCGGGGCAGCCCCTCGGCGGGCAGGGGCGGGGCACACTCACCCCGCCGGCCCGCAGGAGCTTGTACCGGAACTCCGTGGTGGGGTTGTTGAAGGTGAGCTTCTCGCAGCGCAGGTGGTTCACGGGCGGGTTGCCTTCCAGGTTCAGGAACAGGTCGTAGGTGAAGCAGACCTTCCTCGGCTCCTCCTGGAACAGAGAAAACAAGAAAGTCCACATCAGAGGGTGGTCGTGGGGCAGGGACAGAGCTCCCCATTGGCCCTGGTCCTCCTCTCTCCCTCACCAGACCTCCGCTCCCCTCCCTCCGATTTGCGCCCACTTCTCTCTCGGGGCGCCTCCTGCCCTGCCCTTATTCAAAATCGAACAACTTACTAAGTGCAGCTAACTGGGTCTTGCAGGCCCCACGGCAGAAACAAAGCTCATTCATAGCCATGCTCTCGGACGGTTACAGGAAACACGTACCCCCTTCAACCCTTGCAGCACCACTAACGGACAGGGAAACCGAGGCACAAAGACACCAACTAACGCATGGCAGCGCTGAGACCTGCCCCAGGCCTCTGGGGCCCACGATCTCACCACCTCCACTCCCTGCTTCCTTTGCAGCCAGGGCCAAGCCCAACAGACGCGGGACGCAGGATGCAGACTCAAACGACAGAGCAGCGCCCAGAGGGGGCAAAAGTACAAGGTCACAATCCAGTTTCCAGGAGGCTCTGTCCACTTTGGGTGCCGCCCCGCACCCTCACCACCCCAGAAGACAGGGACGCTCTGGCATGGGGCAGCGCTGATGAATCTTCCACATGAGGGTGTGAGGAGTTCATGGGGCGGCCTGGAAAAGGGCTGTGAGTGAGAGGCTGTGATGAGCACAGAAAGGCCAGGAGGGCTCAGGGCAGGCAGGCTTGCGGGAAGGAGCTGTCTGCCCGGGCTCCCGTGGAGGCCCAGCAGCATGTGCAGGGGCTGCGTTTCTGTGAACCTGGAAATTTTGAAGCAAGACAATTTCATCTGCTTTTCCTTAAGCACCTCGCCCCATCCCAAATGATGTAAGCCACAGGTCCCAGTAAACAGAGATGTGCTCCTGGGAGAAGGGACGTCAGGCTGGTAAGAAAATGGAGTGGACGGGGAGTGTGGGAGAACGGCACTGTGACAAGCCCGAATGTCACATGGAGGAAGGGAAGTTTTCATAGAAACAACGGGTACGGGCCGGGCGCGGTGGCTCACGCCTGTAATCCAGAACTCTGGGAGGTTGAGGCAGATTGATCACTTGAGGTCAGGAGTTTGAGACCAGCCTGGGCTACATGGCAAAATCCTGTCTCCACTAAAAATGCAAAAATTAGCCGGGCATGGTGGCAGGAGCCTGTAATCCCAGCTACTCGGGAGACTGAGGCAGGAGAATCACTTGAATCCGGTAGGCGGAGGTTGCAGGGAGCCAAGATTGCACCACTGCACTCCAGCCTGGGCGACAGAGAAAGACTGTCTGAGAAACAAACAAGCAAGCAAACGTGCAGGCTCACGTTCTCACATTATGGGCAGCTGGTGCTTGATAAGGGTGACGAGACCACTCAGTGGGGACTGAGGAGTCTCTTCAACCAATGGTGCTGGGACAACTGGATACCCACCCGTGGGAGAATGGAGGTGGCCCTACTTCACCCACACACAGGAAACAACTCAAAATGGATCAGAGACCTGGACAGAAGCACTAACGCCACACAGCTCACAAGAAAATACATCACAACATTGCATTAGACAATTGTTTCTTACGATATGACACCAAAAGCACAGGCAACTAAAGAAAAATAGATCACGTGAACTTCGGAAACATTTCAGAATTTTGGCCCAGGCATCGTGGTTTATGCCTGTAATCCTAGCACTTTGGGAGGCTGAGGCAAATGCAGAGACACGGGTGAGTGGGTACCGGGCGCGGGTGGGAGGTGCAGGAGTGGCTCCAACAGTCAAAGGGTTTCTTTTGGAGGTGATGAAAATATGCTGGAATTTAAAATTTGTGATGATTGCACAACACTGTGAATATACTAAAACCACCAAATCTGCACAGTTTAAAAGGCTGAATTTTATGGTAGGTGAATTACAACGCACTTTGTTAAAATGCAGTTCACCGGCATAAAAATAACTAAGAGTATGGGCGTCCCATGAAGGCTTGAGTTGGGGAACACTGCTCAGAAGCTCGAGACGTCACACTGGCTCAGTCAGCAGTGGGGATGCAGGGCAGAGCTCCGGGCCCGGGGTCCTCTGCACCCTCTTTATTCTCAGCCCTTTCCCCAGCAACCTAAGCTCGCAGGTGCATGACCACAGCCTCAGTCCTGGCAAGAGGGGACAGACCGAGGGGCTTAAGGTGCTGCAGCAGGCCATCTCTCCCCAGCCTACCTGCAGTGCCAGACAGTTTGCACCGGCGGCACCAGACTCTGCAAGCTCTGGGCACAGGTGTCTCCTGGGAGTCGGGGACTAGCTAGCAACACAGGTGGCAGAGGCAGCTCCTGCGGCCGCCCACGAGTCCCAGGTGCACCTGCATGGGAAGGAGCCTCCAGAACCACGAGTCCGGTCAGGGCAGACAAGTGAACAGGTTCCCAATCCAAGGCCAGCCGGCGCGGCCAACAGTGACCTTGTGTGGGGAAAGCCCCGATCTCAGAAGAGTGGGTCTCTGTCCCAGCCCCAGGCGGGGAGGCGTGACCTGTCTGGGCCAGGCTAGGGCTCCCTCCCCTTGTCCGAGGGGACATGTGACTTAGGCTTGGGTAAGGAGACAGAAGGGAGGGCAGCCTAGGGAGAGCTTTCCTTCCCAAGTCATAAACAAAACTGCAGGGACAAAGTTTCTCACCACCTCTCTTTGTCCTGCCAAAACTCGAGAGGTGGTGCCTGCGGAGGCGGCTTCCTCCACAGGACTATGTGGAGGGATGCCAGGCCCTGGCACCTCCTGCCTTCATGTCCTGTAAGAAGACCAGCACTTACAAGAAGCCCCACTACACACTTGGTCCGAGCAACTGGACGTCGTATCCCTAACCGACACGCCCCCTCCAAGTCCACACTTCTCCTACGCCGCTCTCCCTAAGGACTCAAATGTGGCTGCGTGCCCCTCCTCTGTGCCCCTTGCCTTTACAGAGACACTTGTCCCAGGGGGTGTGGGTCCCTGCCAAACTGGGAACCTGGGACTCTGAGGACTCCTCTCCTCTCCTCCCCCGAGGTGCGCAGCTGGTCCAGCTCCAAGTGAGCCACGGGAGTGAGATGCTAGGGCAGACTGGAGGGGGGATGGTCCAGCACCAGGGGTGGGAGGGGCTGGGAAGGCTCCCTGGGGGCTGTGGTGGGGCTGAAGGATGGCCAGAAGCCGGTCAGCTCAAGAAGGCTAAGAGGTGGATGGGTGCCCAGGCTGGACCACCAGGAGCATGCACAGCCTCACACAGGAAACAGGGGCACGGGCTGCGGTGTCCTCGCGGGACCCCCGGGCTCCAGCGCGGCTGCGGTGGAGAGAGGTGGTGGTGCTGCCCCTGAGGAGGGGAGCCCTGTCCGGAGGTGGAGGAAGGTTTCAGCTCAGGAACAACAGTCACATCCAGGTCTCAGGAAGCCACACCCTCCGGCCTACGGCGCAAAGGGCAGATGCAAGCCGGCACTTCTGGGCGCAGGGCTGGCTGGAACCTGGCAGATAAAGGGGAACAGGGTAGGGGAGGAGAGCTCTTGTCCTGCCTTTCCTACAGAAGCAGCACCACTAGGTGAACCCGGAGAAGGCAAGCAGCTACCCCGCACAGACTGTCCCAGCCCACCCACGAAGGACCATGAGCGCGTCCTAGCATCTCGCCATCCACTCGGCCGGCGGCAGAGACGTGGGCAGCCACAGAGAAAGACCAAGCCTCCAGATTCAGGCCCCCGAGACAGGGACACGCGAGTCAGAGGGCGACCCTGAGTGCCACTCATGGCCAAAAGCAGCAAAACCCAGATGGTACCAAGCTCTGAGGGACACATGGTCCTGACTCTTCACCAAATAAATCGCAAAGCCAAAAAAGACTGCGTGAATGAGAAGGGGGCGGGAGAATCTAGAAACAACAAATCGCAGCGTGTGGATCTCATCAACATCCTGATTCAAACAAACACACACAAAAAACAGGACTTTAAACACTGGCATATTGAGAGACTAAGGGATTATAATCATCAATTAATACCAAGTAATATGGTAACATAAGAGATGACTAAGTCATGGGTGTGGTCCTGGTAGCACTGTCTTGTTAGAGGCCTCTTTTGAAATATTTACCCATGAAATGAGGACGCCTGGGATTTGCCCCAGAATGACCGAGAGGGCAACGCAGGCTGGAACGGGCTTGGCTGTGCAGGGACCACCTTTGGGTGGGTGGCAGCTACGAGAGTTTGTTGCATCTGCCTCTGTAAATGCTTCAAACTTTCCCTGGTAACTTCTGAGTGGACGCCAGGCAGCAAGGCTGTGCAGAGGGTGAACGTGCCTGGGGGAGCATCCCCGTGAAGAAAGCCTGCGGCCTAAGGGACACCAGTGGGAGCCTGGCCGCGGTCCTGCCTTCTAGGCCTCAGGTTCTTCACAGGCAGCTTGGGGGGGTCTGCCGCAGTGCCACAGCCACAGCCCGCAGCACCCTATCGTCCACAGGAGCTGTCAGCGCCCCCACAAAGCAGCCTGGGCTAACAAGGGCACCTGGAGAGGCGCAGCCAGATGGTACCAAAGCATTGGGATGCCCCAGGGACACTCCCCAGCTCTGCCCACTGCCTGGAATGGGGCACCCTGGGGCTCAGAACCGGGTCCTCCCCTCTCCACCCATGCTCCTGACCCTGGCTGTGCACCCCAGCTGTGCACCCCTGCTGCACAGCGAGCCCAGCCACTTCTCCCAAGTTCCTCGGCTGGCCCCTCTCTCCTGGACCACCTGCCTCCTAACCGTCACCCGCTTCTACCACAGCCCCCTTTCAGGCCACGGTATCTCCATGCGCCCAGCGGCCTCGATGAGCCTGGAGGAGGCGCCACATCCTCGGTGCAGCCAGAGCGACATGCTGCCTTCTTCCAAGCCTCCTCCACCCAGCTCACCCCTTCCTGACCCCCGCCTGCCCCTACCCCGGCTTGCTGCTGTCCCCAAGCACAGAGCACAGCTCACTCTCTGCCAGCTCTCCTCGCAGTCCGAAGCACGTCTGTCTTCTGTCCCAGCACCCTACTGACCCATGAACACCACACACCATGG